GGAGAAGCCCCGTGAAGCGGTATATAAGTCTAAGGGCTATAGGGCTGTTGTAAAATTAGGGGCGGCTCATTTAACGACTGCCTTGCTTATCCATGGAAATTCCAGTTGCAATTGCGGTCGTAAGTCGAGGACTACCTGCAGACGTTCCGAGGGCAGTTTCCCCAAAATGGCACCTGGTCTCCCAGTGGGGTGGGGGACGCCCCACCCTAAGATAGATAGATAAGACAGAATTCTTTATTGGCCAAGTGTGATGGGACACACAAGGAATTTGCCTTTGGTGGATGTGCTCTCATTGTGTTGCACCCAGGAAAGAACGAAGCTGAGAACTGAGGAGGCGGGTGAGGGGGGGGGGTCTCAGAAACCCAGGGTGTAAGGGGAGACCACCCCTCCCTTCTCCACCATGGCTTTGGAGATGACCCGAAAATTCTTGAACATTTGTTGGGTGTTGCTGGACGGGAGAGAGATCAGGTTTTGGGTGACCCGCTTGTAGGCCTGAGAAGAGAGAGAAAGGGCAAGTGAGAAGCTCCCCCCTCAAGTCAAAACACACACACACACACACACACACACACACACACACACACACACACACACACTTTTGAGGTCAGAAAACAAAAAAAGAAGAGGGTTCCAAAGTTGTAGAGTTGACAAAACATCATGGTCTATACCAGTCAGCAAACTGCGATTCCGGAGCCGCATGTGGCTCTCTCGTCCCTCTGCTGTGGCTCCCTGTCGCCGATCGGCTTCACAGTGGATAGGGTTTTCGGTTAGGACAGGAAAAAGGACTCCGTGCTAGGAGGAGACAGGGGAACCGGACTTCCGGTTGGCTCCAGAATTGAACGGGGGGCTTCCGGTTAGGGCATTTGTGGCTCTTTTTTGAGTGTTTAAAGTTGCCGACTGCTGGTCTATATGCAGGCATGTCCAAATCTTGTGGACTTCAAACTCTATGTCTGCCTACTCTCTTGCAATCCCTTCCTTGTGATGTCTCCCCTGGACTATTCCTCTGATTCTTAGGCCGGCTCGAGGGAGGATGAGGAGCTCATTCCTGGCATATCATGGATTAATTAATGACTCTGAACTGTTGGTCGAACGAGATTTATTGAGGGGGCGGGTTCGGCTGGGGACCGTTTGCAGGTCAGTGAAGAGGAGCCGCTGTCCCTGTTGGATCCGAGAGCACGCAGGGCAGAGAAAAGACAAGAGCAAAGGAGATCTGCCACATTATTCGGGAGAAGGCCCCGTCCCTGTTGGATCCGAGAGCACGCAGGGCAGAGAAAAGACGAGAGCAAAGGAGATCTGCCACATTACTCGGGAGAAGGCCCTGCCCGTCTTGATGGGTTGCATCGGAAAGCTATTTCAGCAGAGGGAGGCGTTGCCTGCCGTGATACATGGAAAGCACGGGAACAACATGTTTGGTGTATGTCTGTGTGTTAGTTTGTGCTTCCTGGTGGATTTTGTGCTTTGGGAAACTCTGAACGTCTCTTACCAAGTCAGTTCTCCTGAGTGTACTTTCGGTTTCCCCCCCGGTGGCTTTGATTTTTGTCTGGTGGGCTTACTTGTTGGAGTAACTTCCTATTGTTTTACGGACTCTCAGCCTTGTGGACTAATTTTGGACTGCTTGTGGCTGGATTTATTTGGGACACTTCCGAGACGGGTGGGAAGTGTTGGGGAACATTAATAAACTCTCTAAAACACCTGTGTGTGTGTGTGTGTGTGTGAGCACAATCTCTGTACTCTAGGGAGTAGGGAAAAAAAACCTCCGCCATGGTCGAATGGGGGGGATTCTGGGAGTTGAAGTCCACAAAGCTGCCAACTTAGGAGAGCCCCATGTGTGTCAGTCAGGTGTGCAACTTTTGTGTTATTTTTTGAGTAAAGTGGGATTGTTGGGTTTTTTTTGAGCTCTCGGTGACTCTGTGAGGTTCCCGATTGTGGCGGGGGGCCATTTTGTGTGAAGCCCAGCTGCTTTCGCATTGTGTGCGAGTCCGTTGTGCAGCCACGCCCACCCCAGTCACGTGACCGCCCAGCCACGCCCACCAAACCGCTAGGGAAGAGTTTTGAATGTCACCACGGCCCGTGGGGTGGGAAACTCGCGCGGCGGCGAGTAGGCACCGCTCGCCGCTCGCCCGTAAGTTATCAGGGCTTCGCAGAGGAAGGAAGGATGGATGATTTCGTGCAGGAGTAGTTAAGTCGAGACCGGAGGAGAAAGCTCTGCTCGCTGGCTGCGGGGCTTAGCGGATTTACCTGGGCGGCCTCGGCTGACGCTAACGGCCGTCGGAATTGGGCTCTGGGTAATAAAGAGGATTTTCACTCCGCCGGAAACTGGGAGCGCCTGGAGGAGGCCCCCTTTCAGGAAAGGGACCCAGGGGGCTGGTCCGCGTTTCTTTTTGTGGGGGCTTCCACTGAAAACCTATTTTTCTTAATAATAAGAAAAAACCTGCCAAGCTCCCTTCCTTGTATATTTTTTCTTTTTCTCTTTTCTTTCTGTCCTTTTTTCTTCCTGTCCTTCCTTCCGTTAGCTATCTGTCTGCTTATCTATCTCCATCTTTATTTCTCCTTCGTTTTCCTCCCTCTTTCCTTTTCTTTTTTTCTTTACTTCCTCCCCTTTTCTTTCTTTTCCTCCGTCTTCCTTCTTTTCTCCCCCTTTCTCCTCCCACTTCCTTCCTTTCTCTCCCTTATGTCCTTTCCTCCTTCCCTTCCTTCTTGACTTCCTTTTTCTTTCTTTCTTCTTTTGCTTCCCTCTCTTCCTTCCTTTCTCCCCCTTATTTCCTTTCCTCCTTCCCTTCCCCTTTTTCCTGAGTGCCTTTCTTCTTTCTTTTCCTCCTTCTTCCTTTTCTCTCCCTTTCTCTTCTCTCCACTTCCTTCCTTCCTTTCTCTCCCTTGTTTCCTTCCCTTCTTTCTTGACTTCCTTCTTTCTTTATTTTTCTTTCTTCCTTTTTTGCTTCCCTCGCTTCCTTTTTTTCTCCCTTCTCCCTCCCTTCATTATTTCCATTTCTCCTTCCCTTTTCCTTTCGTGACTTTCTTCATTTCCTTTCTCTTTTCCTCTTTCCTTTCTTTTTCTTTCTTCCATCTTTCCTTTTTTTTCTCTCCTTCCTTCTCTTCCTTTCTCTTTCTTTTCCTCCTTCCTTTCTCTCACTCTCAATCTCTCCTTCCTGCCTTACTCTCTTTTTTCTCTCTTTCTCCTCCCCTTCCACCCTCCCTCCTTTATCTTAAGATTGCTGAACATCTTGGGTGAATCTGTAACTCGGATACTTTCCTGAACCTCCCTCCCCAATTCTTCCTCCCTCCTCCCCTCCACCCCCATCAAGCTAAGCCCCCTCTCCAGATATACTTATCAACCCCCCCATCCCCTCCCCAAAGAGGCCTACCTCCATGCACCAAGTCTCACAGAGCACTTTCTCGTGCTCGGCGGTGGGCTGTCCTTGTTCCAGAGCTCGCGACGCCCTGTTGACGTAGCCCGAGGAGGAGAGAAAAAGGGAAGGTAAGACTCACACCTGAATCACAATGTGGTTTAACCCCCCCCCCCCAATTGGGTCCGCAAGGCAGATCCTGGCTCCCCCCCAGTCGATCCTTTCCCACCTAAATGTTTAGGTTCCCCCGTAGAACCATAGAATAACGAAGATGGAAGGGACCTCAGAGGTCTTCTAGTCCAACCCCCTGCTCAGGGAGGAGAGCCTCGGCCATTCCAGACCAATTGGCTTCTTAAAAACCTCCAGGGAGACGGAGAAACCCACAACTTCTGGTGGCAAGGAGTTCCCCTGGTTAATTGTCCTCTGTGTTAGGAGGTTCCTCCTGAATTCCAGGTTGCTCCTCTCCTTGGTGAGTTTCCATCTGTTGCTTCTTGTCCTGGGTGGGGTTGGACTAGATGACCGACAAGGTCCCTTCCAATTTTGTGATTCCGATTCTGTTGTCCTGCCTTCAGGGGTTTTGGAGAATAGCTTGACCCCCTCTTCTTTGGGGCAGTATATTGGAAGATGCGATCATGTCCCTCCTTCTTTTCATTAAACGAGACCGACCCAATCCTGCATATTTTGTCCTCCAGTCCCCTAATCCTCTCTTTCTAGAGTCTCAATATACTTTTTACACCTTGGCGACTAGAACTGGACGCAGGATTCCAAGTGTGGCCTTACTAAGGCTTTGCAAAAGCGGTACGAACTCGTCACGTGAGACGTAGCCCAAGGGTGATTGGCTTACTCTCTTCCAATCCCTTCCTCTGCGATCTCCCCACTCTAGGAGAAAGACAGCAACAGGCGTGGGGAATCCCGAGGTCATAACTAGGGGTTTTATAAAGCGGCACTAACACGATTCTACCCCTCTGCTAACTGTGAATTCTGCTCCCTCCCAATCCAGGGAGGATTTACGGTCACAGACCTTATCTGGCTTGGAGAGCTGCCAGGAGGACGAGATCTGCAAAACTTGGCAAGGAGTCTCCGAACCAATGAAGCGAACTCCTGCAAACTCCACTCCCCTGTCGCTCCTCTTTTGTTTCCCCTGGGAGAGGCCATTCACCGTCCCCCTGTGGCCTTATTCCCAAGTTGACCCCTGTTCTTTAGCTGTTCCTTTCGTCTGGCCACTCTGTGCATGCGCACACGGGGAACAGGCTCCAGCTGTTCTTCTGCCCCACTGATGTCTGACTCCGAAGGCAGCTGATAACTGGCAGACGGCCCTGGCCCCCTTTCTGCCTCCGACGCAAAGCCCTCATCGGAGCCTCCCCCAGACTCCAGGATGGCCCAGATTCCTACCCAGTCTCCTCACTACCCGAATCGGCTGCCAACTCCGCTGGCCATTGGTGGGCCACACAACCCCTTCTGTATCTTCTGGGGCGTTGGCTGTTCCTTGCCAGCCATACCAAAGGGCATTTCCCTGGGTATGGGAACTGGGGGTGTCTCTTGGCGGGCAGCGAAGGCTCACCTGGACAGAACGACCACCATGGCATAGATATCAATTGCGCTGTCGGCGATCTGTTTCAGCATAAACTGCTCTTCTGCAATTTTGGAGAGAAAGGGAGAGAAAAAGAGTCGAAGCTGAAATCTCGCAAACGGCAGAGGGAAGCCGGATCAATACAAGCGGTCCTTGACTTATGACCGGCAAACGGCCGTAGGTGAGCCAGGCAGTTGCGGACTCGCACCCCAATTTTTAAAAAAACCTTTTTTGCCACAGCGGTGAAGCCAATCGCTGCTGTCGTTAAGCGAGTCAGGTGGTCGTTAAGCGACTCAGGTGGTTGTTAAGCAAATCCGGCTCCCCCCGGTTGGCTTATGCTCGTCAGAAGCCAGCTGGGAAGGTCGCCCAAGAGGATTGCGTGACAACTGCGGCCGTCATAAATACGAGGACAGCTGCCGAGAGTTTGAATTTTGATCCCATGACCTTGTGAGAGTTGTAACTGCGAGGACTGGTCCTAATTTAGTTTTCCCAGGGCCGTTTCCATTTCGAAGAGTCACTAAGCAAATGGTTGTAAGTCGAGGACCACCATTAGCTTCTAACTGGGGTCCTTTGGCAACATTTTGGGCTGGGTGCGAAGGAGGCAGCTGGCTTAAGATAACACAACAGCTACCTTTCTGCATACAGTCCTCAAGGTACAACCATGTTTCACACTTACGACCATTGCAGGCTCCCCAGTGGTCATGTGACCAAAATCCAGATGCTCGGCGGCTGACTCCACGGGGGGAGAGCCAGATCCACTTAACAACCGGGCGAGTAACTGACGAACCACTGTGATTCACTTAACGACTGTGTTATAACTTAACAACTGCAATGTTTCACTTAGCGGCGGCGAGAAAGGTGGCAAAACGAGGCCGAACTCACTAAACAAATATTTGGTTCAGCCGCAGAAAGGTTGGTCGTTAACTCGAGGACTACCTTGCATTGGGGGGGAGGGGGAAAAGAGAGGTTTGTCTTTCCAGCCAGCCCCCTCCTCGTAAGTAATCCATGGGGGTCCCAACCCCCTGAGCCCCCCCCCCCTAAACTCACCGACAACTTTCTTCCCGTGCTTCAGCAGCTGGTTTTCTATCCCGGCCGCGAAGAGGTCGATGGCTTGAACGGCCTGAAAAAGGGGAAAATGGGGGGGGTGCGGGGTGGGATTCAAAAAGTGAAAGGGAGGAGGGGAATGCAGACCCCCAAGCCCTCCCCCCTCCCCGGGGTGTACAATCCTGTCCTTTGGAGGGGGGGTGAAAGTGCCCTGAGCCAGCCTTATTGCCCCTAAATCCTTCGAGATGGGAGAACTACAACTCCCATGGGGCTTGAGCAGCCCTGGGGGTTGTAGTCCAACCCCTGTGACCCCCACCCGGGGTGGGGGAAGCTCCCCGAGACCCCCAATGCTGTCCCCAATGGACTGTTTCTTCAAAACACCCCTAAATGAGATATTGCTTCCTTTTATCTCCTGCGTTGATTGTTCTTTTTATCAGTAATTGAAGACAATTTTTTCCACTCTTGTTCCCCCCCCCCCCAACGACGGCCCTGTGAGGTGGGCTGGGCTGAGGGGGAGGGACTGGACCAAAATCACCCAGACAGCTTTCTAGAACTCTCCGTCTCCTGGGTATTGGCCCAAAGTCACCTAGCTGGCTTTTCTAGGGAGAAACTAGAACTCACCATCTCCTGGTGATTGGTCCAAAGTCACCCACCTGGCTTTCATGCCTAAGGCAGGACTAGAACTCCCAGTCTCCTGGTGATTGGCCCAAAGCCATCCAGTTAGATTTCATGCCTAAGGCGGGACTAGAACTCCCAGTCTCCTGGTGATTGGTCCAAAGTCACCCACCTGGCTTTCATGCCTAAGGCAGGACTAGAACTCCCAGTCTCCTGGTGATTGGCCCAAAGCCATCCAGTTAGATTTCATGCCTAAGGCGGGACTAGAACTCCCAGTCTCCTGGTGATTGGTCCAAAGTCACCCACCTGGCTTTCATGCCTAAGGCAGGACTAGAACTCCCAGTCTCCTGGTGATTGGCCCAAAGCCATCCAGTTAGATTTCATGCCTAAGGCGGGACTAGAACTCCCAGTCTCCTGGTGATTGGTCCAAAGTCACCCACCTGGCTTTCATGCCTAAGGCAGGACTAGAACTCCCAGTCTCCTGGTGATTGGCCCAAAGCCATCCAGTTAGATTTCATGCCTAAGGCGGGACTAGAACTCCCAGTCTCCTGGTGATTGGCCCAGTCACCCAGCTGACTTTCATACCTAAGGCAGGACTAGAACTCCC